GAGCATTTGCAAAAGTTGAGAAATTTATTTGTGGAACTGGAAGACAGGAAAATGACTTTTACTGAGACCCACAAGGCATTTATTTTGTTATCATCGTTGGACCAAAGTTGGGATAATTTTGTTTATGCTATGCAAAATGTGCCTGAAGAGGACTTAACCCTGGATTATGTTTCGGCCAGGCTGATTGAACAGGAAAAGCGTTTGGAGTTTGTTAGAGAAACATCAGCTGAGCATGATAAAGGAAAGGACAGTGTTAAAAATGTTGGTGAGAAAACAGCATCTGTGTTTTTCGTAAAAAGATGTTTTGAATGTGAAAGTACCAAGGGACTGTCCACTAAGAAGAAAGAAGAGTGAAGAAGAAAGAAGGCGAGGCTTCCAACAAAGAAAGAGTTTGGACTACTCAAGAGGAGGAGCATACTCAAGTGTAAATACTTTGTGTAAATTTAAAGGACTAAGCAAGAATATTTGGTTGTTAGATTCTGGTAGTGCTGCACATTGTGTAAATGATATAGAGTTGTTAAGTAATACTTGTAAATCTAAAATTGAACATGTGATATTGGCTGATGGAACTTTAGCCAAATGCAGCATGCAAGGAACTGCCTTTATCCCAAGTTTGGGAAGAAGTTTTCATGATGTATTATTAGTTCCAAATTTAGAGTGAGTGCAGCTAGTCTTTGTTTGCAAGGTTATAAAATAAACCTGGATGATAAAGGTTGTGAGGTAGTGAAAGATGATAAACTGTGTGCTAAGGGGAAATTAGTGAACAAAGTTTATGTTTTGAATGATAAGGAAAATGTGTTCAATGTCGATGTAGTGAATTCATGAATGTATCCACTTTAAGTGCTATATGAAGAACCATTCAAATTGCACTTGAAAGTTGCAAATAACTTTTGCAAAGCTCTATTTTGCTGTCAGAAATGAAGGACAAGATGAAGTTCACTTCTAAAGCACAGGAGATGGGTGGCCTGGTAGTTGAAATATATTTCAGCACATGTATTGGAGCCCCCTTGTGTCGGCAGGACTGAAGACTGACAGGCCGGAGGCACGGGTGAGCTTCCCCTCTAAGCTCTAGCTCCCCATGCAGGGACATGATAGAAGCCTCCCACAAGAATGGTAAAACATCAAAACATCCAGGCGTCCCCTGGGCAATGTCCTTGTAGAAGGCTAATTCTCTCACACCAGAAGCAACTTGAAGTTTCTCAAGTCACTCCTGACACACACAAAAAACCCCCGCAGGGGTTTACAATGTACATATACATGGCAAACATTCAATGCCATAGACACACAACATATATAGACAGATACACAGAGGCTATTTAACATTCCAGCTTTTGATGAGGGTATTCTGGCCACCAGGGGAGCTGTCGCTTCACTGTCCCTTTGATGAAGAACTTCCTCATTCCCTGCATGCTTGCTGGAGATTTTTATGGCCTCGTAAATTAGTTAAGTTAGCCTCCCCGCATACGCAGCACCTAAATTTCCTACCTGACAGGTGCAACTGACTTTCAGACTGCAAAGGTTGACATCAAGCTACACAAATTGGTCGGAAGCTCACTCCAACCCGAGCTGGCTTTGAACTCATGACCTTTTGGTCAGTAGTGATCTTAATGCATCTGACCCCCAGCCAGCTGCGCCGCAGTCCTGGTGGCATTTGTATTTGATCACGCATCAGACATTTCCCAAGTGTTATGACTGTGTGATGTATCTGTGAATAATGCATGCAGATCAGAGTAGGGTGGCATTTTGCAGATGACAGATGGTAATTTTGTTAGTGCCGGTTGTTTTTAAGTGCAGGCCAAGGTCTTTAGGCACTGCACCCAGTGTGCTGATCACCACCATCTGAAATATTATTTCAGATAAGGGATTCTCAGCTTATATCCGTGTGTGTCCGGTATAATATCTATTCCAAACAGTCCTTATGGAAAACCCATACGCGGAGAAGTGAATGCAACTGGACATATGGCTTTTCGCAACGACTTCTGGGCGATGCAGCCCTTCCTGCTGATCCCAACACGCGCATTGTCTCTCCTGCCTAGAGGGTTTCAGCAACTGCAAAGGGCTAAGGACTCGGTGAACTTCGCCTTATATCTCCGGTTCGAGAGCGACTGCATGCTAGTCCTCCATTTGTGGGGCTAAAGTTGGGGGGGGGGGGGTAGAGCGCATATATTAAACACCTATGTATGTATGTATGTATGTATGTACAACATTTATATGCCGCCCTTCTCACCCCGAAGTGGACTCAGAGCGGCTTACAAGATATATATACATACAATACATGATATTATTAGCATAGCACAATATCAGTATTATAGATTATGATACTATACAATACCATTGTACTGTAATATTATTAATAATATTACATATAAAATAAAATATATATGTATAATATCATATTATTAGTAGTAGTATTATATTGGATTACATTATAATATTATAAATATTATATGTATATACAATATATTATACTATATTATATTATATTCACTTAGGCGATCCCTTCTTGGCTGAGTAGGATAGTCTTCCAGGATTCTTGTTAGTCTGTAGGTGGCTGTGGAGCCCTATTCTTGATCTGCATCTTCTTCCGCAGTGAGGGCATTGGTTTCCAGGTGGAAGGCGGTCTCAGTCGGGGTTGGTTTGACGCGCCTTCCTCTTGGCACATTTCTCTCTTTCACCCCCTATTCGTGCCTCTTCAAATTCTGCAGCACTGCTGGTCACAGCTGACCACCAGCTGGAGCGCTCATATAATATGAGATCACGAAGAGTCGGAAACTTCCAGGATCAGTATTCTTGTGGGTCCGTAGGTGGCTGTGGAGCCCTATTCTTGATCTGCATCTTCTTCCACAGTGAGGGCATTGGTTTCCAGGTGGAAGGTGGTCCCGGTGGGGGTTGGCTTAACACGCCTTCCTCTTGGCACGTTTCTCTCTTTCACCCTCCATTTGTGCCTCTTCAAATTCTGCAGCACTGCTGGTCACAGCTGACCTCCAGCTGGAGCGCTTATATAAAATGAGATCACGAAGAGTCGGAAACTTCCGGGATCAGTATTCTTGTGGGTCCATAGGTGGCTGTGGAGCCCTATTCTTGATCTGCATCTTCTTCCACAGTGAGGGCATTGGTTCCCAGGTGGAAGGTGGTCCCGGTCGGAGTTGGCTTGATGCGCCTTCCTCTTGGCACGTTTCTCTCTTTCACCCTCTATTCGTGCCTCTTCAAATTCTGCAGCACTGCTGGTCACAGTTGACCTCCAGCTGGAGCGCTCATATAATATGAGATCACGAAGAGTCGGAAACAACTGAACGAACGAACAACAACAACATATTATATATGTTGTATTGTCGAAGGCTTTCATGGCTGGAATCACTAGGTTCTTGTGGGTTTTTTCGGGCTATAGGGCCATGTTCTAGAGGCATTTCTCCTGACGTTTCGCCTGCATCTATGGCAAGCATCCTCAGAGGTAGTGTGGTCTGTTGGAATTAGGACAATGGGTTTATATATCTGTGGAATGGCTGGGGTGGGGCAAGGAGCTCTTCCCTGCTGCAGTTAGGTGTGAATGTTTCAGCTGATCACCTTCATTAGCATTTGAAGGCCTGCCTGAGCCTGGGAAAACCTTTTGTTGAGAGGTGTTAAGATGTGCCTGGTTGTTTCCTCTCTGCTGTTTTGCTGTTGTAATTTTAGAGTTTTTTAATACTGGTAGCCAGATTTTGTTCATTTTCATGGTCTCTTCCTTTCTGTTGAAATTGTCCACATGCTTGTGGATTTCAATGGCTTCTCTGTGTAGTCTGACATGGTGGTTGTTGGTGGGGTCCAGCATTTCTGTGTTCTCAAATAAATAAATATATTATTAGCATAACACAGGAGACAAGATGGAACTGTCTTCCTGGGCTCCCTCTCTTCACTCTGCTCCCAGAGCAGATTTTTAATTTAATTAATTTAATTAATATTTAAAAACATTGCATTAAAACAGAGGCTGCTTTTCCATTCATTCAATTAGAATGAATTGAAATGGCCACAAATGTTAACAAGGGTGGGGGCAAATCTAGCTAAAAATTCAGTCCCATTTTATGTGGGATATTTTCCCGGCTGCGATTTATTTTTTTATCGTGTCATCAGCAACTATATCATTGTGTTACAATTCTAACAGAACAAAACAAACACACAGATTAAAAAGAAAAAGGGGAAAAAACACACAGATTTTGCAAATTTGGTATTTGGTTAAATGTTCTTTGACCAGTATCTGGCCACTTGGAGTGCCTCTGGTGTTGCCGCAAGAAGGTCCTCCATTGTGCATGTGGCAGGGCTCAGGTTGCATTGCAGCAGGTGGTCAGTGGTTTGCTCTTCTCCGCACTCGCATGTCGAGGATTCTACTTTGTAGCCCCATTTCTTAAGATTGGCTCTGCATCTCGTGGTGCCAGAGTGCAGTCTGTTCAGCGCCTTCCAAGTCGTCCAGTCTTCTGAGTGCCCAGGGGGGTGTCTCTCATCTGGTATCACCCATGGATTGAGGTGCTGGGTTTGGGCCTGCCATTTTTGGACTCTCGCTTGCTGGGGTGTTCCAGCGAGTGTCTCTGTAGATCTAAGAAAACTATGTCTTGATTTAAGTCGTTGACGTGCTGGCTGATACCCAAACAGGGGATGAGCTGGAGATGTCTCTGCCTTGGTCCTTTCACTATTGGCTGCTACTTCCCGGCGGATGTCAGGTGGTGCAATACCGGACCGGCTGCGATAAGGAACCCGAAGTGATGCCTTGTTTTGCCCTACGCAATGATGCCTCACCTCTATGACATTTAGTCAGCTGGCCTGCCTCGGGGAAACTACTGACGCGCCGGCCCAGTATTGGGAAAGGCGAGTTGTTTCCCATCCAATTCCGAGCGGCCATGTCGGAACAACGCGACAGCCAATAGGATCGCGGCATCTCCGGCGCCGAGCGGCGATTGGACGGATCCGTGCCGCGCCATTGGCTGACCCGGCGGGGGAGTCGGTGGGCGGGGCCGAGGCTGCCAAACCCAGGCGTCCTTCCTGTCAGGGCGCAGCGTCGCCTCGCCTCACCGGGAGGAAGCAGTCCCAGGGAGATAGATGGAGCGGCCGGGAAGGCGGGCCTCTCCGCGGTGGCTCTCCGCTGCGGTGGTGCTGCTGTTGCTGCTGGCGGCGGGGGTCTGCTTGGCTGCCGCGGGTCAGTAATGGCGCTTCGGGTGGGCCTGGGGTGAAAGGGGTTCCTTCAGTTGGGCGCCACTTTGAACTGCTGAGGCCTTATGCTATTGAACCCTAGGGTTTGTGCTTTGGTGAGGCACCCGGGCTCTCTCACAGAGAAGGCTCCATGCCTTGTAAAACAGGTAGGAGAAAACCTGGGCCCTCCAGGTGTTTTGGACTTCAACTCCCACAATTCCTGACAGCCTCAGGCCCTTTCCTTTCCCCCCTCAGCCGCTTAAGCGGCTGAGGGGGGAAAGGAAGGGGCCTGAGGCTGTCAGGAATTGTGGGAGTTGAAGTTCAAAACACCTGGAGGGCCCATGCCTGTTGTAATACTAAAACTTCCTCAATTACATAGTATTGTTACTTACTTACTTACTTACTTACTTACTTAGGCAATCCCTAGTTATCCGATCAGTGTACTGGCGGTGGGTCAGTAGGTGACTGTGGAGGCCTACTCGTGATCTGCATCTTCTCCTGCAGTGAGGGCATTGGTTTCCAGGTGGAAGACGGTCCCAGTCGGGGTTGGCTTAACCCGTCTTCCTCTTGGCACGTTTCTCTCTTTCATCCTCCATTCCTGCCTCTTCAAATTCTACAGCACTACTGGTCACAGCTGACCTCCAGCTGGAGCACTCAAGGGCCAGGGCTTCCCAGTTCTCAGTGTCAATGCCAGAGTTTTAAAGGTTGGTTTGAGCCCATCTTTAAGTCTCTTTTCCTTCCCACCAGTATTCCGTTTTCTGTTCTTGAGTTCGGAGTAGAGCAACTGCTTTGGGAGACTGTGGTCGGGCATCTGGACAATGTGGAGTTGATGGTGGAGGACCATCGCTTCAGTGCTGGTGGTCTTTGCTTCTTCCAGCATGCTGACATTTGTACACTTGTCTTCCCAAGGATTTTCCAGAGGCAACGCTGATGGAATCGTTCTAGGAGTTGCATGTGATGTCTGTAGACAGTCCACGTTTCAAAGGCATATAGCAGGGTTGGGAGGACAATAGCTTTAGAAACAAGCACCTTGGTATCCCTATGGATGTCCCAGTCCTCGAACACTCTCTGCTTCGTTCAGAAAAATGCTGCATTCGCAGAGTTCAGGCGATGTTGTACTTTGGTGTCAATGTTGACTTTCTCCACTTAGTATTTATTTATTTATTTATTTATTTACTTTATTTATATACCGCTTTTCTCAGCCCTCAGGCGACTCAAAGTATTGAGCCATGGCACTTAAAGTGGGGTCAAACTACATTAATCCCATAGTGTGGATGCTCCCCTAAGCTTAGCAAAGAATGACTGGTCATTTCTGAAATTGTATCAGCTCAAGTGTATGAGGGTTGAAGTATGAAAAGTAATGCCTCCACCTTCGTAACTCCTCAACAGATGGCAGTACTGGTATGAGGCAGGTACTGGCTTGTCCACTAGACTCTCCTCTACAGTTCCATTTGTGGGAAACCTTAGTATTGAATGGTTGTGTTGATAAAGTGTGAAGTATGGAACCCTGCATAGACGGTCGGTCAATGCGACTTAAGCATGCAGTCACGGAATTCTTGACAGCAGAAGGTGTCACCCCAAAGGAGATTAATTAGAGAATGCAAGCTGTTTGTGGTGATTGTGTTGATGTGAGTACAGTGCGTCGTTGGGCGAATGTTTTCCTGACAATGCCAGACCACACGCTTCACTTGCCACCACAGCAGAACTTCAGAGACTGGATCTCACCACCGTATGGCATCCTCCATACAGTCCAGATTTAGCACTGTCTGTTTTCCATCTGTTCCAACAATGAAAGAAGATCTTCTGATGAAGACGTTGAGAGAACTGTGAGATGCTGGTTGCGGAAACAAAGTGTCRACTTCTTCTGTGATGGCTTCAGAAAACTTGTTKATTGTTGGCAGAAATATATCCAATTGTCTGGTGATTATATGGAAAAGTGAATAGTGGTAGTTAAAGAGCACATTCTAAGGATTATTTCTGCATTTGATTTATTAAAATATTCCCATCCAAACCCAAATAACGAAGGTGGAGGCATTACTTTTCATTCAACCCTCGTAATAGCACACTTTCCAGGCGGTAACAAATAATGTTTAAAGCAGGCATGGGCAAACTTGGGCCTTCTGGGTGTTTTGAACTTCAACTCCCACAATTCCTAACAGCCTATCAGCTGTTAAGAATTTTGGGAGTTGAAGTTCAAAACACCCACAGGGCCCAAGTTTGCCCGTGCCTGCTTTTACACATACATTACATGGTTATTATCTTTATTTATTTAGAGTATTTATTATATTCCACTCTTCAGCCCCAAAGGCTCCCTCAGCATGGCTAACTAATTGTCAATTTGTCAGTTTGCTACCCTCAGGCTTACAATCTAGATCTACCTTAGTATATTTTTATATTCCTTGGAGTTGGGATTTATATGTTCCCTTTATAGTTTCTACACATAGCCCAAAGGTCATTTTATACACAGCTACACCATGCATGAAGCAAAGTTTTTGTCATCAGTAAAGGTGACAATCAGTATCTCGGGCTGCCCATGTGGACAATTTTGGATATTGGATAAGGGATGCTCAAACTGTATCAGTTTTAGATATTCCGGAGTGTTTTGTAATATATTTTTGTTGTTATTTTTTGCTTTTATTATTTTGTGTCAGGAGCGACTTGAGAAACTGCAAGTTGCTTCTGGTGTGAGAGAATTGGCCGTCTGCAAGGACATTGCCCAGGGACATGCCTGGATGTTTGATGGTTTACATCCTGTGGGAGGCTTCTCTCATGTCCCTGCATAAGAAGCTGGAGCTGACAGACAGGAGCTCATCCTGCTCCCCGGATTCAAACCACCAACCTGTCGGTCAACAGTCCTGCCGGCAAAATTGTTTAACCCATTGTGCCACCAGGGGCTTTTATTTTAATAATCAGGTAGGGAACAAATGCCAAAGTAAAGTCCACAAATGTTACATACAGTTTTCGTTTGGGCTTCATCGGGCTTTTTTGAATCAAATTGGTGAGCACTCAACAGTGTGGAGAAGCAGAGTTGTTCTCCAGATATTCACAGAGTGCAGTTCCCATCGCTCCTGTCCAGAGTCATCAATTAACTGGCTACTTTGAATATGCAGCCCACCCTAGAGTATTTAATATTCCCAGTAACAAGCTTAAAAAAACACAGAGAATATTTGCTGATCTTTCCACTTTACACAGATAATACCCATATCCTAATTGGTCCAGATTCATAATTTTATCTCAGTCTTCAGAGCCACAAGGACAACATCTGAGCATTAGCTAATCTAGGATTTGCAAAGAGTGGTATTCAGCTGAAGTACTCTGAATGTCTTCACCAGCAGAGCAGAAATACATTTGCTATTTTTCTATCTTATAAGGATGGCAATGGCAAAAGCCCTAAACGGTTCCGGCCCAAAATACCTTTCTGACCGTATCTCGGCCTACGAGCCCACGAGGACCTTAAGATCTTCTGGGGAGACCCTTCTCTCGGTCCCGCCTGCCTCACAGGCACGCCTGGCGGGGACGAGAGAACGGGCCTTCTCAGTGGTGGCCCCCCGGCTGTGGAACTCCCTCCCTGCTGAAGTTAGACAGGCGCCCTCCCTCATGGCCTTTCGTAAGGGCCTGAAAACATGGCTTTTCGAGATGGCCTTCAATTGAGTGCTATGTTATTGGAATTGACGACTGGAATGGACTACGACTATGAGATTGATTATGACCACATGTTAAGACGAAGCGGATTTTTAGTATAAGTAGATGTTATGTAGCAGTAGAATGTTGTCGTTCTGTCTTGACCTATTGTAAATTGTCTTTTCTATGTTTTTGTACACCGCCGCGAGTCGCCCTAGGGCTGAGAGCGGCGGTTAACAAGTGCAAGTAATAAATAAATAAATAAATAATAATAAATGGGGATGTGGAAGTCTTTGCTTTCAAAGGCCTAGTATAGTGCAATTCCTCCACAGAACCAGAAATACCAGATTCATTTACTAATATTCTGAGTTCCTTCAGATCCAATAAAGCTTTTAAAGGGGTGAGTTTTTATACAAGTCATTTATAAGGGATACCTGTTTCTTTCTCATTCTTGTTCCCATGTTTAACTGTCTGATACTATGGAGGCACTGCTTATGTTATTTAAAATCATAGTTGGAATAAACCACAGGGGCCATCCAGGCATGCAGAAACACCCATTCAAAGCACCTCTGATCATCACACCTCTGTTTAAGATCCTCCAAAGAAGAGATTCTGAGACAGCATATTCCACTGCCCAACAGCAATTACCATCAGGAAGTCCTTCCTAATATTTAGGTGGAATCTGTTTTCTTGTAATTTGGACCCAATGCTCTGTTTCTACAGCAGAAGGAAACAAGCTTGACCCCTCAATATATTAACCTCAATATAACATTTCAACTATTTAAACATGGCTATTATGTCCCTGTTCAACATTCTCTTCTCTAAGATAAACAAACATATCCAGTTTCCTAAGCTTTTCCTCATAGGGCTTGGCTTCCAAACCTATGACCATTTTGATCACCCTTTCTGGACACATTCCAGCTTGTCAACATCCTTCTTGAATTGTAATGCCCAGAACCAAACACAATATTCTGTGAGGTCTGACCAAAGTAGAATGTTGTTTGTTCGTTCAGTCGCTTCCAACTCTTCGTGACCTCATGGACCAGCCCACGCCAGAGCTCCCTGTCAGCCATCACGACCCCCAGCTCCTTCAAGGTCAAGCCAGTCACTTCAAGGATACAATCCGTCCATCTTGCCCTTGGTCAGCCCCTCTTCCTTTTTCCTTCCATTTTCCCCAGCATAATTGTCTTCTCTAAGCTAGAAGTAGAATAGAGTGTAAGTAGAATAGAATGGGTCTATTTTTCTAAGCAGAATATAGTGGGTCTATTACTTCCCTCATGGACACATATTCCTATACAGCAGTGCTTATCAACATGTATTTTATTATGTCAGAATAGAGGTAGCAACCAGGTTATCGCCTCTTGGGAAACATCAAGATCAGCTTCC